TACCCCCGTCAGAATTTTGCAGTCCCTGAGAACACGCAAGTGGGCCCTTTAAAGAAAGAGGGGATTAAATAACAAGGCTGGCTTCAGAATCTTAATTTTCCTTACCCTTAAGGCAATCAAGCCACCAAATCTTCACAGTGGAGCTTCTGTTTTCAGGTTTTGGTTTTTTTTTCATTTCTGAGGGTAAAACTATACTAATCTTCTGAGATTTTTCTCTCAAAAAGGTAACAGGGGCAGATCAGCAGGTTTTCTTGACTAGAGCAGATGACGTGTGTCTGGGGACCTGCTCCCTGTGGCCTGGGGAGGTACAGAGCGCAGACAGATTGGGTGTCTGCTGGGACATCAGCTCTGAGCCTGGTGCTCTGCTGTTCATAGAAAGCACTTAGTAAATGTCTCACAAATGATAACAGAAGAATGCTGGATAATAAGGATTTGGACTGAGAAATTTCACACTTCCCAAGAGTTTAGAGCCCAGGGTGGATAGGGGGATGGGAATGGGCAGTAATTTGGACTGTTTTTAATGTTTGAGTTCAAACACTTTTATTTATTCATTTTTTGGGTGGGGGAAGTAATTAGATTTACTTATTTATTCTTAGAAATAGTACTGGGGATTGAACCCAGGACCTCATGCATGCTAAGCATGCGCTCTCCCACTTGAGCTACACCCTCCCCCTGAGGCCCGTGTCTTGACAGGAGACACTGAATGTTAACGTGGACCCTGCTAAGCTGTCAGGACCAGAGAGAGGGAAGCAAAATTTGCAGCTGCTGTTTCCTTAACGATTTTTCTCCTCGCCTCTGGCATCAGGTGTTGGGAGAGAGAGGAAGTCTCTCCGTGCATGACCTGGGACTGGTGGTGTCAGGCCCCAAAGAAAGATCTTTGGAGAACAGAAGCCATCTTTGGATAAAGAAGCCAAAGGAAGGAATATTGCCAAATTCCCCTTCAAAGTACTCTTTATGGCCTGTTGTACAGGACAAAGGCCAGGTCTGTGCCAAAGTACAGGCTGAAGTCATGGCTCTAATATTCCTATGTAAGTGAAGAAATACAGGTTTGCCCGTGTGTAGCTTTTAATCACTTATAGCACATTCACCTTCATCTGTGTTAATAGCTTATGAACATTTTCCCATATGCCAGATGGATTATTATGAGCTCTGGATTGATTATTTCATTTAGTATCCACTACAATCCTCCAAAGTAGACCTTACTTAGTCCTGTTTCACAGACGCAGAAAGCGAGGCATAGAGAGGTTAAGTTGCTCACCCAAGACCACAGAGTTGGCCAATCTGAGATACAAACCCAGCCAATTTTGACTCCAAAACTCATTTTATTTAGCCTACTAAGTTAGACTGCTTTGCTGACAACATTTATCATATTCTACCTCATTTGGCAGATATTTGTCCAACTCTTACATTATGAGTCCTTTGGGAGGACTTATTTTATTTGTCTCTTACTAACCTGGTGTGTCTCATACATAGCAGGGAAATAGTATTTGCCTTTTTTTTTTAATGGAGGGACTGGGGATTGAACCCAGGACCTCATACATGCTAAGCATGTGCTCTACTACTGAGCTATACCCCTCCCACCAATATTTATTATTGATACCAGGTTGCTGCTTGAATCAATAATGAATCAAAGGCTTTGTGAGTTTTTCTTCCCATTTTTTTTATTTTGAAAAAATTTACTTACAGGGAAAGTTCTAGAAAAATGCAACGAACATCCAAATATCCTTCACCTAGATACATCAGTTGTTAACATTTTGTGTTATTTTTTTCTTGACCATTTAAGAGTGTGCTGCAGATAATGTCAGACTACATTCGAATTTTCTCAATTGTCCCAATAATGATCCTCAATAATAACTTTGTTTTCTGATCCAGGGTGCAACTTAGGATCATATTGCTCTCGGGGTCATATCTTTCCTTTGTCTCCTTCAATCTGAACAGTTCACTAGCCTTTTTCTTAAAAATTTCATGAACTTTACATTTTAGGAGACCAGGTGGTGGAATAAATCACTCAATTTGCATTTGTCTGATTGTTTCCTTAGAAATAAAGAGACATCATCCCTTTGGCAGGAATATTATCTGTGTCTTCTGTGCATCATATAAGGGAGCATATGATGTCCGTCTGTACCGTCCCCGGTGATGTTAAGTTTGATCACTCGGTCAAGGGTGATTTCTTTGATGTGAAGGTACCCTTTTCTTTTTAATAAGTAATCTGTGGGATGATGCTTTGGAACCGTACGAATATCCTCAACCGTCCAGCATCTATCGATAATTTTTGCCCGAATCAATTATCCGTGGCTCCAAAGTGGTGATTTTCTATTTCCATAATTTTCTTCTACACGTATTAGTTGGTATTCTTCTCTAAAGAAGCGCTTTCCTTCCTCCACCTCCTCTCTCCCTTTGAAATTATCTCTACCCTGTGTCACCGTGAATACATCACTTACCCCATGGGGACCTATGTTTTCTCATCGTTAAGATGAGATGACCGAAGGGCCACATTCTTGAATTTTAGTCAGTCGGAGATGAAATCCCCATACAGATCTGCTGGGAACCCGCCAGAGAACCAAACGCCGCAGTCGGGTGCCAGCATCCACCGCGGAGTGGGCGGTGCCACCGCATCCTCCGCCGAGGCGGCCCCGCGGCCCCTCCCCTGGCAACAGTAACTGGTAACCCCCGCGCCTTCTCGCGAGAGCGAGCACCTAGGGGTAAAGGTGCGGTCCCCGAGCCTGCGCGCTCCATGTCAACCCCCGCCCGCCCTGCGCGCCGGGTCTGCCGCGCACGCGCGCGCGCGCTCGGGCAGTTGGAGGTGTTGGTCGGTCTCGAGCCCGCGGAGCG